CTCTGGTGGGAGACCTACCGAAGCAGTGTGCTGCCGCTCTATGACAGCGTCCGCGCCGTGCAAACGCCCGTGTCCCCTGAACACCCAGTAAGTGGAGGATTCCTTTGAACACTTTGACTGCCACACCAGAAAAAAAAAACAAAAAAAACAATTTTCCCTGGGGCCAGCCACGGTGTCTCATTAAAACAAAACAATCCTTTCTAATTTGTTACTTTTTATTGTCTTCTGTGCAATGCAATGCGTTCTATGCAATGCAATCCACGCTTTTAGAATTAAATTATCGATATTCATTGTAGCAATAAAAATATCAATAAGTAACATTTTCTCGAACCAAATGCAGGGTTTTCCTACATATGGCCCTGGGCTCAAAAGTAGCGTGAGTTAAATAGAACTCACATGGCAGTCGGTGTGTTAAAACCCGTAGCTGTAGAGAAGGATAACCTTCCCACGACTGACACCCGTGGGGGGTTTTTCTTTCCTTCACATTCACCGCTTTTGTTTCTCAAAATCTATTTCATGCAGACGGTTGCTGAAGTGGCAGGCAACTTTTTTCTTTTAATGTTTTTGCTCAAATAGAGAATGTTTAATGAGCAGAGATGTCGCTGTGGTTTGTACAACGGATGCATGAATAGCTTATTTAAATTAGTCTTCCTCATTAGAGTAAGAGCCACTCGTTGATAAGTGGCCAGCCATAACTGATTACAACGTCGTTCGGGTAAATGTTTTTTTCCTTTCAACCATCATTCATTCGAAATAGCAATCGGAGGAAGTGTCTGAAGAGAGTTTTAAAATTTTTTTGATTGACACCAATTTGATTTTTTAAAATCATGATAGCCTCTAAGGGTACTAAGTTCTGTCTCTGCAGTCTGTTGCATCTGCCTTGCAAAAAACTGTTTGAAATTAGATACCAGGAAATGTTTTATTCTTGGTGATTTTTTTTTTTTTTTTTTTTTTGAAACAGGGTCTTGCTCTGTTGCCCGGGCTAGAGTGCCGTGGCATCATCCTAGCTCACAGCAACCTCAAACTCCTGGGCTCAAGTGATCCTCCTGCCTCAGCCTCCCGAGTAGCTGGGACTACAGATGTGCACCATGCCCAGCTAATTTTTTCTATATTTCGTAGAGACGGGTTCTCACTCTTGCTCAGGCTGTTCTCAAACTCCTGAGCTCAAGCGATCCTCCTGCCTCGGCCTCCCAGAGTGCTGGGATTACAGGTGTGACCCACCACGCCCAGCCTACATTTATTTTTTTTTTTTACTGTAGGATTTACTACAATGGAATCAGGTATCAGCAAATGCATTGCTTGGGTAATCAAAAATAATTCATATTTTATTTTTTTGGATGTTTTTTTTTTATTTGGGTGGAGCTAGGTGCTACTTTTTCAAGGACCATGAAAATCGTCTGTACTCATTTGGCCAGAGCGAATAGGGATTTATTTGCATGGAGGACACAGACATTGAGTGGCTGCTCATTTTGCACAAGGCACTGGGTTGGGCAGAGGGGAAGGTTTGGGCGTAGCGTGATGTGGTTGTGAGAAAGAAAACATTGAGAATGAGCATCTCACGGGTGCAGAATTTAGGGCCATGAGCCCTGGCTACACCGAGATAAGATGGGTCTGGGGGCCCTGCGGGTCGCAGGTGAGCCAATGAGATGTAGGAGACACTCAGTGCATGCTGTTCATTTGTCGGTGCAGGTTTGCTTCGGTGGTGTTGGGGTGCCGTGTGCAAATTCAACACCCGGTGCTGAAAAGCCGTGTGCAACGTCAACACCCAGTCCCGGGGTGCTGTGTGCAAATTCAACACCCAGTGCTGCAGAGCCGTGTGCATCGTCAACTCCCAGTGCCAGAGTGCTGGGTGCAAATTCAGCACCGCAGGCTGACCAGCCACATCTTGTTCAGGGCCCTCCGGAGCCAACCGCTACAGTGGATGATGCCCCGCCCATCCCTGAAGGAGGCCGCTGGGAAGATGTGAGTACCTGCATGCCACACAGGTGTGACGGGGAAGTCGCAGCTCCCCGAGGAGAGCGCAGAGAGAGCAGCTTCCCGGGCTCCCTGGGGAGGGAAGAGCGATGTTCAGTTTGCTCCAGGCTGGGGGCACCGGAATTTATTAATGCTCAGATGATGGCAGACTGAGTAAAGCGCCCGGTTGAAAGACATCTGTATCCTAATCCCCACAACCTGTGACTGTGACCTTACGTGGCAGAGGAGGTTTGCAGAAGTGAATAAGTCACGTGTCTTAAGACAGGGAGATGGCCCTGGATTATCTGGGTGGGTCTTAAGTCCTCACAAGGTTTTATAGGAAGGAGGTAGGAGGATGAGCATCCGAGGAGAGAGGCTGAAACAGGTGCATGCGGACAGACACGGCCGCGTCTGGTGGAGCCGGATCTGTCAGAATTTTGTCCTCGGAGAAGAAAACAAATCAAAGCTCACCCTCTACCAAAAACATAGAATCTTCCAGGCTGTTGTTTCTCCAGACCTGATGTCTGGGCAGATGCATTGGAATCCTGCCCTGGGTTTGAAGATTTCTTGTTTCAAATGCTCACACTCCTAAGAGTGGAAACTAGTTTCTCGCTAGAATTATTCTGAGGCGGTACGTGGGGATGGATTTGGGGCTGGGATGAAGGGCAGTCACCCCCCCTGTGTGTGTCACCACCTCTGGGACAGTGGCTCCTCACTGAGTATGAACAAGCGATGTGCACATTTGGGCACACATTTCTACGGAAGGCACCGTGTGTGACACTATGATGTGGAATAAATGATGTCGGGTAACTCCACGCATCAATAATTTTTGAGTGATTTCGCATCGACCCAAACATGTTGGATCTTAAGAAGCTCAGCTTTGGACAGAAAAGACTGAAGTGGAATAAAATAGTTTTTTCCTAGTTTTTTTTTCCTCCCGATGTTTACTGAGGATAAACGTCCGTGGTCTGGCCCCCGGACATGCCTCGTGTGAATAAAATCAAAGGCATCTGCTTGTTCTAGTCCAAGTGTGATTGGTTTAGTGATTACATGATGCGTAAAACCGCCCCAAATCCTGCCAAGCTGTGCTTGTAATGGGATGTTTAGAAAATCAATATTCACTTTAAACGTTTAGCAGACGACTAGATTTTATCGAGTAACCCCCAGAAGAGTGTTTCCAAGCCATCATTCTAATTCCCGGTTACCGAATAATTTTAAACTTATTCCATCACTGACTGGTGTCTATTAGTGTTTTTCAAACTGTGACTGCAAGCTTTGCCTGAACAAGACTCATTGAAAGACATTCTGTAAAAAAGACACCTGCACTCGAATGTTCACAGCAGCACGATTCACAGTGGCAAAGTTGTGGAAACAACCGAAGAGCCCATCAATGCATGAGTGGATTAATAAAATGTGGT